TCTGACTGTCTAGGTCAACAACAGTTTGAAAACCTTGATTCTATCTCATCCTTGTCATAACAACTTGTACACCCAAAGGTATCTTGATTCCCTAACAATCCAATATCTAAACCTTATTTTGATCAAGAAAATGAGGAGATGTCATTTTCTCCTCATTCTATCTCATACACTATTTCCTCTACCTCATTCCCACTTTTAATAGTAGTATAGATTATAAAACAAAAATGTAGAAGTTGCAATAAAAGCCCTCTTAAGTCTTAGGTGGTGATTGATAAATTTGAAATATGAAAAGTTAAAAAGATATTAAAAGTGTTTGAAATCTAAAAAGAGACAATTGCTTTTTGACTTTTTAGAACCTCTGAATAAAAAAAGTTGTTTGTATTGGATCAAATCTTCATCATCTAAAATTCAATGATTTTACTATTTTACCCCTAAAATAAACTATTTGGTAATTTTGAGTTCAATTAGCATTATTTCATAAAAAATAATTTATTAAATTCAAAATAATATTGAAAATATGAGTAAATTATAAATTAAAATAATTTATAATTTATTAAGAGTAAAAAATACATATCAATTTATTAAAATAAGAATAAAATTGAAAAATACATATCAATTTATAAATTAAAAATAAATTATTAAGAGTTAAAACAATAATAAAAATAGTAATAAAGACCATGAAGGAATAAAAATTAATAATTATCAAATTGATATCTTAAAAATATTAAAATATTTAATATTTAATAAAAATAAAATAATTAATAGTTAATACAAATATAATTTATAAAAATAAAAATAAAAAATAATTTATTAAAATAAGAATAAAATTGGAAAGAATAGTTGTTGTTGCTGAGAGTTGCAGTGGTGGTGGTTGGAAGACAAGGGGAGAGAGAAGTCGAAGACAAGGGTGTCTCAGCAGTGGCGGTGGTAGGAAGACGGGGAGGGAGAGAGAGAGAAGTCGAAGATAAGGGTGTCTCAACAGCGGTAGTGGCGGGAAGACGGGGAGAGAGAGAGAGAGAGAGAGAGAGAGAGAGAGAGACTGAATGGGCCTTTTAACAATTAAAATAGGGGCATTTTTTACTTAGTCCGCATCTAAAATGCGTCTGGGTGCATTAAGTGACGGGCCTAGGTCTTTACAATGTCAGATCTAAAAAAAAACATTTTAGATCATATTTCAAATGCAATACCAAATGAATTTGGCGTCTGAAAAGCAAATATTTTAGTCATCAGACCTCTGAAAAGAGTTATCAAATGCCACCTTAATTTTTGTTTAATAAAATCCATCATTACTCTCTAATAAAATCATTCTTAACCTCCTCCCTTCAATACTTTATAACATCCCCCTCCCTTATTAAATCCCTTCTTTCCTCTTAATTCTCCATTGATTCCTTTTAACTTTCTTAACAATGTAAGGGTATAAATCAGATGGGATTAGGTTAGGTTAAGAGCCAATCCAACGTTAATATAGAGTGTTTTGAGTGACTATTCATGTTGATTATGTGGTCCAACGAATGAATAAATGCTATTGAATGCTTGCATTGCTGCAACAACTATTGAAATTCAACCAAATTGCAACCTTGCTTTCTTAAGTCTAGGATTAACTCTTGGAGGGGGGTGGGGGGTTGCTAGATTCTCTCAGCTTGGAGGGGGTCAGAGAAGGATGGAGTTGTGGACGAGAAGGTGGTTATTATATAACCTAAATAGGTGTAGAACTCTCTCCCTAGGCCAAAATGTGTGTCTAACTGAAAGGTAGTGGGGTTAGGGCTGCAAATGGATCAAATCGGATTTGGTAAGGGTATATCGGATCTGATTCGTTAAGAAAATCTGACTGATCTGAATCTGATTCGATTAGAAATTATATTTACAAAATAATATATTATAATATTTATATAATATAATAATATATTAAAATATATAATATATAATTATATAAATAATATATAGAATATACATATATAATATGCAAATAATATATAATATATAATATTTCATAATCAACAGATCAGATCAGCCAATATTTGAATTTGATCCGTTAAGTTAACGGATTGGCTATTCCGATCTGATCCGATTTGTTAGGATCAGGAGGGATATCCAAATCCACCTCTTAACAGATCGGTATCAGATTCGGATCGGATTTGATCCAACTTATTTGCAGCCCTAATGGGGGTAATTATAGTGTTTTGGGGAGAATTCTAAAAGCAAGTTAATGGTTAAGATTTGATTTTTGGGAGATCAATGGTTGAGATTTAAAATGTTTTTGGAGGAAGAATAAAAGTAGAAAAGGTTTGGCATGACAGTCGTGAGAAATTGTCTCGATTAGTCAAGAGAAAGATGGAGTGTCTTACAAATTTGCCTAAAATGAATATTTAAATTTTGGGTGATTGGCTTGATTGATTGGAGACTTATTATGTGGTGAATTTGAATTTAAATATTGTTTTAGAGGCTATGAGAAAATATCTGGTCATAAGGGTCCCTAGGTTCCAAGATTTATTGAGGAAGATTCTGGGTAGAGGGATTAGATTGAATTTATCTTTAGGTCACAAGACGGAGGGGTTAACGGTGTTGGAATTGGATGATCTTTGTATTGTTTGACTTGGAATTTCAAGCTTTATGCATCTAAAGGGTTGGATTTTTGACTTCATGCGAGGTATGATTAGGATTGAAAAAGATTCCAATCAGATTATCAGAATCAGTCTAGGCTTCAGGTCTTAAGATGAAAGGGCAAATGGTGTCAGATTTGGATGATCTTAGTGTCATTGAACTTGTAAGACAGAATTTTTGGATTTCTAATTTAATATGGGATCAAAATGATTTCATTTAAACAATTGGAATTTTTTCTAGCTATAAGTCTTAAGACGGAAGAGCATACAATATTGGATTTGGCTGGTCTTGGCATTGTCAAATAGAATTTTGGGATATATATGACTAAGGTGTTGGATTTGTTAACTTAGAGGTCCAAATGTTTGTAAAATTTCAAAAATAACCCTGAATTGACTGAGAAGTTAGTTGAAGCATGCTTAGAGTACTGCAAAAAGACTGAAGGGCGTAAAAATAAGGTATTATGATTATTATTATTATTGAAATCCAATTTTGGGCTAGAAAGAACCTTTCAAGGAAGGGGACACCCAAAGTTCCTGAACTCTTTTGTCCAATTTTGAGCAAAAGGGAAAGAATCTTACAGGTTGAGTTTCCAAGAGAGGCACTTGTTCTTTTTATGGGGACCTTTGGGCCCAAATTTTATAATATTATAATCAGTTACCTATTGCTTGAGAGAGAGGTGTTTGGAAAAAGAATTTAAGCACAATTTGACCCCATCAGTCTACCATTTCTTCTAGATAACCTTATTAATATGGCAGTTGTATATAAGTCAAAACTTGGCATATATAATTTGATCCTACTAGTCTACCGTTTTTTTCTAGATAAACTTGGCAGTTGCTTATAGCTAGGTCAACACAAATTAAATTTGTTGGTGTATGAGAGAGATGTTGGATTCTAAATTTAATCCAATACCTTTTTTGTTACATGGCGTCGTCTTTTTCAACGTAATCTTGATGTATGCATGTTGGACCGGATTAGGTCGGGTTGAAGCCAATCCTTACCCAAAAATTGTATAGAACCCTTCATCCAACTATTCTGGATTGAGATGGATTGGATTGGTCTTGGTATTTTTTTTTTATTTTTTTTTATTAGAATGTTGTTATTTTTATATTTAAAAATTGTGGATTAATATTAGAAGGCAAGATTCGACCCAAATCTCCTACAATCAATCAGATGTATATAAAGAGATAGTAGATAGAGATGGATGCATAATTGCAGGTATATATGCAACTATGATGCTAGTTATTAAGGCATTATAGTTGGTTTTGATTGGTCAAAGCATGGTTTTAAAAACTGGACTGGATACAGAACTGTTCAGCCATTGGTTCTTGGGTTGCATGGTCCAATTGTCCGGTTTGAATGAATGGACTGTTTTGATTTAAAAATTAAAAAAATAATTAAAATAAAAAGTCAAGAACCATTGTCTTGATTGACGGTTCAACCACCCAGGTTAGAGGGTCACTGACAATTCATTGTCTTTTAGCCCAGGAACGGTTTTAGGGTGAAACAGACTGATTCTCAGGTGAACCAGTCCGACCGTCTGGTCCAATTCAATTTTCAAAACCATGGGTCAAAGTACTTATTCTTTCATACCTTTCCTACATCATAGACAATGCTTTTACATAGTATTTGTATATTCAAATATGAAGTATGGATCAGAATTGAGTTGGGTTGTGCAAAGCCTCAACCCTAACTGAACTTCTATACCACCCAACCTAACCCAACCCATTTATTTCTAAATTGAGTTTGGGTTAACCCAGCCCAAGTGACAAATTTCCCAGCAGTCTTGGGTCCTGGGGTTCAACGTTCTCCAAGTAGGTTAATTCTTAATTCAAATAAGCCCCAAACATATATATATATATATATATATATATATATATATATATATATATATATATATATTAATTTGTAATAGAACGGGTTGAGTTGGATCCACGGCGAACTGATTTTAATTGGTTTGGAAAATTCCAACCCCAATTGGAACTGTTTTATTAATAATCCTGTTTCGCCATTCCCTCATGCCAATGCCATATCCATTGTTATTGGATCTAATACTGTATCTAATTATAAATAATTGAGTTCATATCAGAATTCAAATTAGGATAAATGGATGTTATTTACAGCACTAATTAGTCAATATTAATTGCCCAGAAGCAAAATGACGGATTGGAAGATTGGATTTGGGTCAACACTAGGAATTGCCAAACCAGTACGTTTGGTGGCTTAGCAAATGACTCATGAATGTCCCAGGCACAAAAAGTTGGGAAGCTAACCAGAATTCATAAATGCCAAACAAAACTTTCTCCTCCATCCATTGACTCCATCTCCCCAAATCTTCCTGCCTCATCCTATATATTATTCTCTTATCAGTAGCAACATTATCATACATGAAGTGATCAACTATGGCATCTCTTCTGTCCTTGATTCTTATCATTTATAGCTTCTTCCTTTCATCTTTCACCTCAGCTTCCCAACATAAAATATGTCCATTTGATGCAGTCTACCAATTTGGAGACTCGTTATCAGATACCGGCAACTCTATAAGAAGCTCCTTTGGTGTCAATTCATCAGCATCTCGTCTGCCCTACGGCGAGACATATTTCCGTAGACCTACAGGCCGGTGGTCTGATGGACTTCTCGCTATCGATTACATCAGTAAGTTGATTGGATCATAGCTTTCTTCAATTCATCTATCCTAACCATTTTTCTTGTCCATTAACTTCTTCTTCATAGATTTGGCTCTTGGTCTTCCACTTCTTAATCCTTATCTGGAGAGGAATGCAAGCTTCAGTCATGGAGTCAACTTCGCAGTAGCTGGAAGTACTGCACTCAACAATACATTCTTCATGAAGAGGAATCTTTTCGTGTCCCCAGGCAACATTCCCCTGAGCGTCCAGCTCAACTGGTTCAAGACCCATCTCAAATCTACCTGCAGAACGCTTTCAGGTCCGATATATCCTCTTTGATTCATTTTGGGCTTTCTGCATCTGTCTCCTTTGATCTGGGAAATTTTGTCTAGTCTTCTCACTGGTACATATGTGCAAGAGACGAGCACCACATATTGTCCAGTTGTGTTGAGCTATGGATAGTAGTAGCATTAATGTCATATATAGGTCAATGGTGTAAAATCTATTCATACCAGTCAGTCTGAAGCGTCAGTTTTGTTAGCTTTATATCTAGAAGGTATTTAACACCAATTGAATAGTCGAGAAAGAAGGTCTGTTTAGTTTGAGAGAATAGGGATCTGGAACCGGCCCATTCGATTCCAATTACAATCATTTGGTTGGCCAGAATTGGAATTCAATTCTTATTCCTAGTAGAATGGCATTTCCCTACTTGAATAGTCATAGACCATTCCAATTCCAAGGGATTCTGATTCTAATTATTCCAACGCAATTCAAATGAATATCAAATATTCTATTACCAAAAATTGATTTGTTTATCAATATAAGATATTTGTCTCGATTTTAGTGCATGTCATAAAAGTTAAATTTGATTGTGAATGTTGATATTTGTCTCGATTTTAGTGCATGTCATAAAAGTTAAATTTGATTCTGAATGTTGAACTTATACTTTACCCCTATATTTTCTCACATGCCCTTTCACTACTTTGATTAAAGGTGTAAATCGGGTTGTATTGGGTATGGGGTTTTAGGTCCATGGGCTGGCACGACACAATATGACTGTGTATGCTATGTCGCCTGCAGCACGGCCCGGTCCGGCCTGCGACACGGCCATATATAATGTAATTAATATATATAATATAATTAATATATACAATTTCATTTTATTATTGCATATATGAATAATTGTATACATCAAAATTCATATAAAATGAAATTTTAAGACTTTTTTTTGTCCATTTTGATTAATTTACTTTAATTTTTTTATTATATTTTTCTTTTAAAAAATTATACCTCTCATGGCTTGGCCCAGTCCATGACCCAACCTAGTTTGAGGCTCGGCACACAGACCAGTCCAGCCCACAACACAGCACGGCATGGCACATGCCTGCATGGGATCAGATAGTTGGATGTGCCGGGCCGATCCTCTGAAGTATGCCAGGGGAGGGAAGCACAGCCTGGCTTGGCCCATGGGCCGGCACGGCATGGGCTGCTCACGGAACATGCCATGCCAACCCTACATGGCCCAATTTACACGTCTAACTTTGATTAATGTCAAAGGCATCTGGTTAAGGTTTTATGTATGGAATCTCTTATATAAAATATTATACTTCTATATCTCAGTTAGAAGCTTAGAACTTTTGGTTCCAAAGTTTTATTAACATGGATTAAGATTTGTGTTTCCAAATTTTTGGCAAATTGCATTTCTTTCCCTAATAACTATCCTTGCATCAGGTTCAGGCAATGTGCTCTCAATTTGTCCTAATTAATTTCTTGGTCACTTGTATCTTTGCCCTGTGACACTGTGATTGCTTAGATTCTTCTCTCTTATGTCTACTTTTCATGTAAGGTTATTGCTCCAAAAGACTTACAAGAGCTCTAGTGTTCATGGGGGAGATTGGAACCAACGACTACTTTTACTCCTTCGGAGGCAAGCCCATTGAGGAAACCCGGACTTACGTGCCTTACGTTGTTAGAGCCATAAAAGAAGGTGTTAGAGTAAGAGTCTGATCTTCCTTTCTTTTTCTGTTCATTTTCAATCCTTCTCTGGTTTTGAATTTTGATATCTTTGACCATTTCTTAAGTAATTCATACAGGAAGTAGTTCGAGCTGGTGCTGTTAATGTAATAGTTCCTGGAATTCCTCCCATTGGATGTGTACCAACCTCCCTTACTTTCTTTCAAAGCAACGATACGAGGTCATATGATGACATGGGATGCCTGAAGGATCTAAATGAGTTTGCAATGTATCATAACACCCATCTCCACCTTGCACTAAAAGATCTGAGACGAGAGTATCCTCAAGCTGCAATATTATATGCAGACTTCTACGCAGTTTCCCTATCAATCATCCGCCGAGCAATGGCTCTCGGTTAGTCATCTTCACATTTCTTACATCCAATTCCATGGTTAAAAAGAAGGGTCATTTACTATAACCAAGGTTCAAATTTTTTATACGGTACGCCTTGCATCAGGTATATTGTATCGTATCTTTGGGGCCCGATATACTTGTTTATAGGAAGTGTTTTGGAATCCTTCTTTTTTTAAATAAAAAAGTGTATAAAAATCATCTCCAGAAAACAAATTTTGAAAAATAAGATTAAAAAATATAAAATCGCATAATTTTTAATACCAATAGGCCTCTGTCATACACAGGGGTATACCAATACTTTGAACCTTGACTATCATATCTCCTATATATAGTTTTAGGAATTTATTAAAATCTATCCTATATAGTTTGTGTTTTATTAAAACACCCTCTATAGTTTACAACCCATTTACTTAATAGGCTGTCTGTTTGAAGTGGAAAATGACAGTTTTAACAGTAACTAATATCTGTTTAAATAAATTTAATAAAGTGAAAAGGAAAATGAAAATATCATTCCTGCCCGGGGAAAAATGCAATCAACCACTCTGTTCGATTAGTTTTGTGGTCTATTCGAAGAAGGAAGATATGTTGTTATAGATGAAAAGCTCGAACACCATTCTTTTCTCTTCATTCTATGAAACCAAACATTGTTTCTTTCTAAAAGCTCGATACAAAATGCACGGATACGTTTAAGAATAAACAACCATGGTCCTCATTTTTCACTCAATGTAGCTGGTCACATGACCAGTTCACGAAGGCAAATATAAACCCTATAGGGTGTTTTGGTAAAACACAAATTATAAGTTTTAATCAATCCAAAAAAGTATGAGGGTGTTTTAGTAAATGGCCCAAAAAAAAAGTATTAGTGATGCATGAACAGTACTCAAATAGTTCCTTTGATTTTATTGTGTTTAGGATTCAAGAAGGACGTGTTATTAAAAGCTTGTTGTGGTGTTGGAGGGGACTATAATTTCAGTCTGGACAGGCCGTGTGGATCTCCGGGTGTTCCTGTTTGTTCCAAACCTGCTCAGTACCTTAGTTGGGATGGTACTCATCTCACTCAGGAGGCTAATAAGAAGTTGGCAGACTGGATGATTGACAATGTTCTCACAAAGATCCCATGTAAATGATAAGTAATTTTCATATATAAGTGAAACTCTAGGAGTTAATTTCCACTTAATTAGCTGCTGTAATTACACTTGCTGGATGTATGATACTAGTAATTATGTAATGGAAAGAAGCTGCTTTTATTTTATTTATATATAATCTGAGCTGATGGGAATAATTTAATTTCATTTTTTTTATGGAGGAAACACCGGCATAGCAGAAATTAATAGTTGAAAAGACCCCAAGAATGCTTGTGAGGTATTTGGAAAATTTTGATATAAGTTTCTGACTAGAAAGTAAGAATAAAAAAGTTAAAGCATGAGAAACTGTTCAATTGAAACTCCACACCTAAACACAAGCAAGGTTAATGTTGATGGCTTGGTTAATGATAGAAAGAAATTCTGCAATTAGATGTATTGCAAGAAACAGTCCAGGCCAAATTATTGTTGGAAGAGTGACATGACAAAAGAGAAAAAAAAAAAAAGGTTAGCTATTTGAGTTAAGTAGGGCTTTTGTCCTTGATTAAAAACCTACCATCTTCCAAATTTATGGGTGAATGTAGTCAATCCAAACTGTCCATCCCACAGCAATGATTTCAACCTGCCGTTGATTTGGATGGTCGAATCGTTCGTTTGAATCTTAAAATAATGCATCTATTGTAGTAATTTCAACCCTGTCGTTTATTTAACATTTTTTATAAATAAAAAATTAAATTTTAAAAAAATATAAATTAAATATAAAATAATGTATCTATTACGAAGGTTCAAAATATCAATACGTCCGATACACCGGTAGGGGTGTATCAGACGATATCGATACTGTATTTTTATTTTTTTTTATTTTTTTCAAAACCAATTCAGGGGGGCAATTGGAGGCCCCTCCACCCCTTGAACCGGTCAGAACTCCGATATACCCACTATAAAAACATATCGAGAAGGTCTCGAAACAATACGTATCAATCGATACGGACGAATACATATCAATACTTTGAACCTTATCTATTATATATTATTATACATTAGATAGATAGATAACATGCTGACAGTTGGTGACCAGCAAACTTGAGGCAAAAATTTTAAATGGTTTGGCCTCAGCCTCTGGGTCAATTTTAGTTTAAAACATATCTGGATAGGGGTTATAATTATAGCCTATTGTTTTTTAAGGGTTTATGGTGGCATGATTCCAATGGCCTGACGAGGTTTAGAAGAGGTTCCCACCTCAATTTGCAGAGGTGTACGCCTCACACCTTCCCCTCAAGTTTCAAGATGAATATGACCTACATGCTTGCCTTGCAAAAACAAAGGAAACAATCAGATCTTGAACAGTAATTTGATTTAGGTGATGAATTTAGGAATGAAAACAGGGCAGGGACCATACTCTCCATCATCGACTGGAGAGAAAAATCAACCTCCATCCCCGGCTCCCCATACCATCTCCATTCCAATCAGGTTCCTCGTCATTCCCATCCTCGACCCCATCTGGGGGAGGCTAGGTACCCAGTGGGGATGGAGAAAATTGTCATGACAAGCTGGACATCTAGGTATAATATAAAGTATTTTATTTCTTTCTTGTTTATCAAAAGCCAACATGTTTTAACAATTGGCAGGTAAGGTCTTTTTGATGGAATGAACAAAAAAATGAGCAAATGATGTAATGGTTTTAGTAGCTTCATAGAATGAGACGCATCGGTAAATGTAAGTCGTAACCCTAATTCCTTCATAGACAACAGAGTTGGCAGGTGAAGTCTTTTTGATCCACGTATACATGGTTTTCCAGATCAATGACAATTGATCAAGGCTTTTGCTTTTCAATGTTTTTAACATTTTCTTTCCTGCAACAAAAAGAAAGGAGTAATCTATCAAAAAAAAATGGAAATCCTTATCAACGTTCCATTAATTGGGTCCTAACTAACCAATTTGAGTGGATAGCACCTTATGGGAATAAATTTTCAGGATCAATGTTTTTTCTTTATTATTTTCTTCCTGCCAGGATCTTATTCTGAAAGCAAAATTGGCAATCTATTGCCTATTTATAGCACAATATCATATGTAGTGTCCTTAATATTTATCACATGTTTTTTAACTACAAAATGGAACTCTTTATAGTGAAAATCCAATCAGACCTATCTAAAACTGCAAAATAGACAAGAAAATAATGAAGGGATGCATAGCTAGAATAAAAGGATACAATCCAGTTATATTCACCCTTGTGATCTATCTTTGGATCCCCCTGATCAAGCCTGGATACTCTCCATGCAACATTCTTGCAAGTTGTGTATTTGTACAGAATAAACATTTGACTTGCTCCCATCATCAAAAAAAAAAAAAACACTTGACTTGCTCCACTGTATATGCACGGCTCTGTCAATCATATCAACAGTAAAATTCAATTCAACAGTGCAAATATCATCTAGTTCATGCTTGAAGCCATCAACTTGTTATCTATGCTCTTTTACATATTGAAGCATTATATGTATTTTACTGGAAAGATCATGAATGGATTTAAGCCAGTGTTCCATAAACATTGCCACAAAGTAATAAACAAATAAATGAATAAAAACAATCATGTCGAATTGAAAGAGAAAATGCAAAAAGATACTTTCACATGACTACATGTCTAGTCTGAGTAGGTTCCCAGACAAGCTTGACAGAACCATTCCCAAGAGGAGAAGGAAACACATCAGATATCATGTATAAACAAAATACATCCTTGCGCAAGAAGAAATATATGAAAAGCACCAACTAAATTACAATAATTACAATCACAAGTATCAGATTTTGCCCTTACTAAATGCAACTACCTGCCCCACTATCAACCATCTGGGCATGAAATTTAAGCAACCACTTACGCCGGAGGTTTGGGCTTTTTGCAAGGAAGGACCTAGCAATTGTATCATGTTCATTTAAGTAATCAAAGGCTGAAGCAAGAAATGATTCATTGAAGCCTTCAGATTTCATAACTTCTGAATAAAGTACATGAGAAATGTCCTGGTAGCGAGTGTTTTTCAATGCTGCAGCTACCTCACCAATCTGCTTTGCTATTTCATCAATCTTTCTGCTAAAAAATTCCAAGGAACGACTTCTCTTCCCATGATGCCTGGCCTTGGATGATGAGTAATCAGGTGTCAGAGCCTGCTGCTTCTCAAACTGCATGCCCTCCCCTGTTTCTTCAGCATCAATATTCTCATCCAAAATGAAATCTTCATGTTCTGTAACAGGATCAGCTGATTCTACATTTACAATGGCATGGGATTTATCAAAACTTCCGGTAGGTTGATCTTTTCCACATACAATAATCATTTCATCATACATATCAATCTGCCTATTTAGGTACTGAGCAGCCTTCGGATGCACCTTAATCATCATGAAAGGTTTAGACACAAAATTAAATATATTCACAAGGAATAAGAAGAGAAAAAAAGAAAAGCTAAAATATATCACGTTTAACATACCGCAATATAATCATTGTATGCTTGGACATGTGCTGTTATCATCTTTTGGGTGTCATCCCATCCAAACTCACTATTTCTTTGCAGTGCCATTATGAAATTGTACCTTTTCTTTGTTGTCCTTAATCGATTCTCAACATTGTCAGCTGTACAGAGAACACCAAATTTTTTGCTTACATATGATGCTGCACGTGCATATGATGGCTTTTTAAATCCTTTATCACCCTTCTTTCCTTCCCTTGCTTCTTTGGCTAGAACTAGGAGGAGACAACGATCCATAGCAGGTGTCCACCTTAACTGCTTTATCCCAACATCCTTGTTTGACATTTCAACCTGTGTATGTAGCATGAAAGAACAAAAATAAATGCTTACTATACAATACAATCTGAAAATTTCACATGAAATGAATTAGTATATGAAGCAACTTTTGAATTCATCGCCTACAGGCATTGTGGGACCCATGAAGAGACATTACAAAACAAAGTTAGGCATGTCTTTTCATGGATCCTACCTTGTTTATAGGATGAAGAATTGGAGGATTTGCATAAGTCAAATGTTCAGTAGCATATTTCATTGATTCAAAACTTAGTCTAATAAGTTTCATTGATTACTGAAATAACTGAACCCAAAAAAAGAATTACCACCAATCTCCTTCTTGGATAAATCATTAAACTACACAGGCATAGTGGTGGAAAGGGATTTGAAAATTTAGTGAGATGGTTCAAAAAAAAATTGTCACATACTCTGGAAATACAGATATATCTTAGGGAAGCAAAGACTCTGGCTGCAGAGATAAGAGCTGCATATAAATGGAGACATAGATCAACTAATAGTATGGCTGATGCTTTGGGAAAATTCAGGGAGAGGACGATTTGAACAAAACCATAAAGAAAAAGGTTTTGGACTTGGACACGCACCAAACTCTAGCGCATCACACTTCTATCATACTAGATAAAAATACTAAAAACTAGGATTTGAGGCCAAAAAAGTTTTTTTTTTTTTTTTTGGAGAAAATAGTGGGGCAAGGTGCCAAAAACGAGTAGATCTTGAAACATTAGCCCAAATCGGTATAAAGATAACCGAAAACAAAGTTATGGACTATGGAAGTTTCAATACATCTTATTGGCTAACCCATTAGCCATGACCTGGTGACCAGGTCAAACAGGTCAACAGTTCAACCACTAGGGTTGGACGGTTTTTGACCAAGCCAATAGTTTTTGAAGAATTTTTGGGTTTTAGGAAAACTGGAGCCAGAATTGTGACCAAGTGAAAGTTCGAATGTTTTTGACTGTCCAGGACCCTAGGTCAATGGTAGGTTGAAAACACTGGTTTGAAGACTCTCTATCTAGGAAAATACACAAGAAAGAAAGAGCCAGTTCCATGTTTCACACTTTATTGGTGCTTCCATTCATCAGTGACTTTTTTTTTATCAGCAACATACATACAGAAGTGACATCTCTAGTGTTATGCATATTCTTCTTAGTATAACAGAATTTTATTAAAAATAAAGAAAAATGAGATCCTCCTTCCTCTTCTTCCTCGTCCCTCTCCTCCTTCCTTCTCATCCCCCTCCTCTTAAGGAGGCTTATGCCTCTTACATTCTGAACTACGCCTCAGGCCTTCAAGTAGTGGAATGCCTCATGTCACGCCTCTGTGTTTTAAAACATTGGGGAAAAGATGTGGAAGTACTAGTTTGGTCTTTTTCTTTGCAATAACTCACTAGTATTAATCTTTTGGTGAAAAATCTCCCAGCAGAAGGGCTTATTTTATGAGGCACAGATTGGAACCAAACCACCTCAGCACTACTCCTTGCAATATTCTGCTTATTTATCTTCCACATGACCAAGTTCCCTCCTAGACAATTGTACAAGCCACCCTCTGGACCTTCTTATGGGTAACACAATTTTAAATAGCACATCCCAATTTGGGACCTCAGGGTTTTGCATAAATTGGCTTACCACACTCATTTCCAATGACATATTTGGTTTGGTAATAGGTTAATAGTACAAACTTATGTAGTCTATTAACAAACCAGACTCCTATACTTCCCTGAATCATCACAGGATTCACCTTGATTTGCACTTAACTTCATATTTGGTTCCATTGGAGGCTTTGTTGGCTTATAGCCCCGAACCAGACTCCTATAATTCACATGGAATATTCCTCGGTTGCTGAGGGAGCTCCACTACCCTCACATATGGGTAGCAGGATTACTACTCAGAAACTAATTGCTACAATTAGGAATCTTCCATGTGGAAAGTTTAGTTTGGCAATCAGAAAGAGTCCTTGTATTCCTCCTATTACAATTGATGAAAAAAATTGGCCCAAAATTCATTCCCACATGATCAAAATAAAGCTTCTTTTATAAGCAACATTTATATTAAAAAATATATTTGTACAGTTATAATTGATCGAGCTAAATCTGATACAAGTTTGGGTATAAGACTAATGTGCACACTTCAGGATTTGACACAGCCAATCGAATGGGCTGTGTACTTCCATTTTTTACAGTGGATGTTAAAGCTACCTCAACCAACATTCAAAATTTTTCAAGAAAACAAGGAGTCAATCAGTCAAGGAGACACAAACTTGTCATTCACCATGAAAAATAGAATTATGTACTTCCAACAAGGAGCAAAATGTTTTCCCCCTATCTGATGAACAGACACTTTATTTCTCCACATGGTAGAATAGGTAGGGTTGTGTACACAAGCTCCCTATTTGATCCAATTAGGAAGCCTTTTATATTTAAAGTAGTAAGTTTCCACCAAACTGAACAATCAGAAATTTACAACTTTTGGCAATAAATATGTCCCAACCTATTGCAACCTATATTAATCATGGAATCCAAGTAACTGGTACTAGATCCTTTTTAATTTGGCTATTTAAATGTCAGTTCTTGAATTTTGTAAGAACCATTAAGATGTAATCCCTTCCAATAAAAGTGAAATTTCATTAGATGTATTGGGAAAAAAATGTGACATGAACAACAAAAGACGCTAAATGAACATGAAAGGGTAGGACAATGGATTATATTTTTTTTTCTATTTTCATATATTTTAATACCTTAATTACTTAAAAAACTCTTTATTTTGTTATCTTCTAAGCATTTCATAAAATATAAGTTTTAGGAAAAAAACAATACAACTGCAGCAATCAAATGATTTCTCACAAAATATCAGCAGGTAGATAATTACACTACGATTTCTTCTTCTAATCGTGGACTATCTTCAAATACAACCAACATAAAAGCATATCAGCAAAGATACAACATCACCACGAAAACCATTCCAGTCGAGGAAACCAAGTTAAATAAGTGAAAAAAAAACGACAGACTAATCCTCAAAACCCACCAAGGAATTCATAGGAAATACATAAAATAAATTTAACTCCACAAGAGTTTTCATTAATTTCAATGCTCACCTGATTCCCGGACGTTCTAAAAGCTTTTCTAGAAGAATTCCCCTGGTCCGTAAAATTCAAGCTAGCTATTCGCTTCTTTGCGTGCTCCGGTAAACTCACCGATTCCTTTCCGGCATTCTCTGGCGTACCAGGCTTCTTTTCCAATGACGAAGAAGAAGATGATGAAGATGACGACAGAGAATTCGACGAAATCTGATTCTGGGTCGACATATCAGCAGCTCAAAAGAGTTACTAAACAAACACTAACCCTAACCCTAACTCATTCTGTAAAGCCTCATTCTGTGTAACTTTTCTTCTTGCTTACACATCAAGTAAGAAAGCTTGCAAGAACATCATAAGAAAGCGACTCCAAAACCCTAAAAGAACATCCAGATCACAGGAGATGGAGTGCAGAAGTGTGCTTGGATTGTTATTTTTTTCTTTTTCTTTTTTTTTTTCCAAAACTGAAAGAGCAAATGAGACTTGCTCTGTTGCGCTTCCTTCACCGTAAACTGGAAAAGGAAAAAAATTTTCATGCGAAATAACATTTTTCGCGTTTTTTGATTCGCGCCGTAAAATCGGAATAATGTAAAATATTTTGCCAGGAGACCGAACAGACCAGTTGCATGGATAAAACAGTAGACCCCAGATTGATTCTGTATAAACCATTGGATTGGTATATTTCATCTGGATAAATAGTTCAACGATACATGACCGTAGATCCTCAGTCCCTCTAAAATCTCCAAATAAAGATTCCAATCTGTTGGATTTTACACCTGGTATCATTGTTGCTCTTCTAGTTTGAAAACTCTGTCAGCGGTTCACTCTGCCGAATGCCGATACTAGCAGCAACGTATTATGTATGTGAGTGGTTGCCTGGTTGGGGACGATTTGTTTGGGCCTTTTAGAATTTGAGCTAGGCGTAGTCGTAGGGTTGATCATTCTTAGCCCAGCCCAACCTGGACCCACATATCTGGTCCGGTCAGAGCCCAATGCTTCTAGGCCCAATTGACTTGGAATTATACGTTATAATCCTTAGGCCTTTAGGCCCAGAAGGCTGTGGTACGGGCCGTGGCTTACTTGGATCACCTTATATTAGGTGCCCGTTCGGGAAGGCTTTCATGCTGCCGCTTCTGGCTTTGTGAGGTGGGTCCCACACAGACGGCTTAAAAAAACCCACAGCTCAGCCCGATTTGAGTTGGATTAGGTTTATACTCTTTTATTAGAAATACATAGATATATAAGATCAATTTTTGTTTTCTTCTTTCTCTGTTATCTGGTTTCTTTTGTTTCTTTTGACTATGTAGTGCAAGACTAGAATATTACGATGGAGAGAAGACCATGGAAAGATGGGAAAGACATAATGCTTCCAGCGGGCTACAGATTTGCACCCACTGACGAAGAATTGATAGTCTATTACTTGGATGAAAAGACGAGAGATCCCAYTCTAAGAATTCAYACGATCACTGRAATCAATATCTACCAATTTGACCCTGAGCAGCTTATAGGTACGTAG